ATACTTACTTACTTACTTACGCCTGTTACTCCCAATGGAGAATAGGCCACCGACCAGCATTCTCCAACCCACTCTGTCTTGGGCCTTTTTTTCTAGTTCCATCCAATTCTTGTTCATTTTTCTCATATCTATCTCCATTTCTCGGCGTACTGTGTTCTTTGGTCTTTCTCTCCTCCTTCGGCCTTGAGGATTCCATATGAGGGCTTGTCTTGTGACACAGTTGGGTGTTTTCCTCAATGTGTGAACTACCCATTTCCAGCTTTTCTTTCTGATTTCTTCCTCTGCTGGGATCTGGTTTTTCTCTCCCACATTAGGTTGTTGCTTATAGTGTCCGGCCAGCGGATCTGAAGTATTTTGCGTAGACAACTGTTAATAAACACCTGTATCTTTTGGACGATGAATTTCGTAGTTTTCCAGGTTTCCGCGCCATACAGTAGAACTGTCTTGACATTTGTATTGGAAATTCTGACTTTGGTGTTGGTTGCTAATTGTTTTGAGTTCTAGATGTTCTTCAGTTGTAGATATGCTGCTCTTGCTTTGCCAATCCGTGCCTTCACATCTGCATCAGATCCACCGTGTTCATCGATGATACTGCCCAAATATGTAAAGGTTTTTACATCTTCCAAATCTTCTCCGTCAATTGTGATTGGATTGGTACATGCTGTGTTGTATCGAAGAATCTTGCTTTTCCCTTTGTGTATATTGAGACCTATTGCTGCTGAGACTGCAGCTACACTGGTTGTCTTCTCTTGCATTTGTTGTTGCGTATGCGATAGAAGAGCCAGATCATCTGCGAAGTCTAGATCATCCAATTGCATCCTAGCTATCCACTCTATCCCGTGCTTCCCTTCAGATGTTGATGTCTTCATGATCCAGTCGATCACCAGGAGAAAGAGAAAGGGTGAGAGTAAGCAACCTTGCCTGACACCGGTCTTTACTTCGAACGACTTTGTCAACTGTCCTCCATGCACGATTTTGCAGTTTAATCCATCATAGGAATTCTGTACGATATTGACTATCTTCTGAGGCACGCCGTAGTGTCGAAGAAGCTTCCATATCTGAATTCATACACTGTTGAGATTTATTTAATAATAGTTATCAGGGCGGTTGACAAACGTAGCCTAAGGAATTATTTCCAAGCCAATCCACTACAACGTTCGTACTATTAATAATTATTTTAGTGCATTTTACTATTAGTTTTTACACATATAATCAGATGAAATTTTGAGTCTGAATGAAACAAAACAATACAGATTACATCACTCCCTTACAGATACTCTGATTGGTGGTTTGGGATGGTCTATCAATGGACTTAACGTTAACCGTTGTAGGCTAAATCACAAGTATCTGGTATGGAAAAAAACATTTGAAAATGAATGATAAATTATATTACAATCAGTGATGATCAAAATTAAGAGCTACTCTATAGAGAATAAGATAATTTCTGTTAACATATAAGTTTATAAATATATTTTGCTAAGATATCTATATGATCACAGAGTTAAATTAAGATGATTAACTATACCTCTCCTAAAAACCAGAGTCAGTCATATTCAATCGTTTAATCAATGTGTTAAATGATTTTGAATCATATTACTAGTAAATGTACTCCGAGAATATTTAACAATAATACACAATATTTTACTGAAAGGTTTTAGCACAGTCCTGGGTAGCATCAAGGAGGATTTGATACAGATGTAAAGTGAAGGAATGGCAAAGCGATGGTCGCATTCATACAGTTGAACAACATATGAAACTTAAAACAACTGTCTGTCAGCCAATATCAAAGTCATAATCTTCAATACGAACATCAAGACAGTTATACTGTACGGAGATGAAACTGCGAGAACTACCACAAACATCAAACATGTACAAGTACTTATAAACAATTATCTACGAAAGATAATCAATGTCCGTTGATAATATATCATCAGCAACAGCCTACTGTGAGAGAGAACAAGTCAGGTTCCAGCTGAAGAAAAAATCAGGAAAAGGCGTTGGAAGTGGATAGGACACACATTGTGGAAATCACGAGACTGTATCACGAGACAGGCACTAACATGTAATCATGAAGGGAAACAGAAAAGTGGAAGGACGAAGTATACACTGTGCCGAGAATTAGAAGCAGATATAAAAAGGATGGAAAGCAACTAGAAAGGATTGTGCAGACTAGAGTTTGATGGAGAATACTGGTGATCGGCCTATGCTCCTCCATGAAGGGGGACAGTATGTAAGGTAAATAAGTATGTAAGTTTTAGAACGGTAAATTGATTTCCTGATCATTTACAAATACAAAAACACAAACTTTGTTAAATGAAGTGAATAGATCATAATTGTTGTGTGCTACGTTAATTTTTTATTATACAAATATAAATTCGGTAAATAAAATTGCTTCTGATAAGACTGGATGAGAAAATTGTGAGAAATTTACAGAAGCTTTTGATTAGCTATCAGGTTAGAATGATGAAATTATAGTTTTTTTTTGTACACAGTTACTGTTCCTTAATATTACTTCAGCTTCAATTCACTATGATAATGGCTCAAGAATATAACTTCATCTTACGTATTCTTAATTCTCATCGTGGGAATTGCCACAGTCTTTGACTTCATGTATTTTGTAGTAGAATCAAGGAGACAACATTAACTATCCTCCTCCTTCTCAGAGGCGAGATGGATTGAGATGTGCAAACCAAGAAGCATTGAATCATTTTAATTTATCCAAATTATTCATCCACTATTAGTGGTTATTAATCAAAGAATTTGAAAAAACACAAAATCACAGTTAATTATTAAATATAATGAAATACACTGATAGTTAAATGAGTGTAAATCATTTGCCATTTCAAAGATTAATTTTATACTTTATACCTATGATTTGGAGTTTATATCTTCCTTATACAGTTACACATAGTGTGCAGTCAATCTTTCGAATACAAAATTCAAAAATAAAATTATTGAGGAATGAATATGAAATCAAAGATGATCAGTTGAATCAATCATCCAAGCGCATTTTAAACAGGAATAGTGTAAATGTGAGTGATATCTTCAAATATAGATACCTATTTCATAATAGTGTTTGGGGAGATAAATACAGAGTTAATTTATAAAGAATGTCAATTATCTTATCACTAATTAAAAAACTACTATTTTCGTCATTTTTAAATAGGCTTGCATGTCCATTTTTTAGTTAATATCACAGTTTGTCTCGCTTTTCTTATCTTTAATTTCAACTAAATTTAACATCACAGTGTACTAACAATTCAAGTTTTCACATCACAGATTTTAACATTTCACCGAATTTATGTCGGTAATGCTATTGTTACACGATTGTCAGAATTATATAATCACCATACTTTAGCAATAATGCGGTGTATGCTACTTATGTTGACAGATATAAGTAGTATGTATCTGTATGAGAAGATTGAACTGAAAAGAACCAAACGTTTAATTAGATTAATAAAAGAATTTCAAAAATCATAATGTAAATGAAAACTGATGGAAGATGTGCAAATGAAGTATTTAATGTATGGTTTTAAATATTTTGCCAAGACACTATAATTTTGCATGAAGCAATAAATTGGTCTTCCCTACCTGAATTCTCATTCACTACAATAGCTGTTATATTCTACAAATATATCCAACTTATTACAATAATTTGCGCGTACTCCATGATCATTTTCATTTTAACCATTCCGATAGGAACTGAAGTTACATAACTGCGGAAACTATTTATAAATATTTGTGCATCTAAACAACATAGATACATTATGGTCCTTATAAAACTGAACTTTGTTTGTAAAGATGGTGAATAAACACACTTTTGGAAAAGAATATACCTCACTTTACAAAGTATCTTATGCATACTTTATATAATTTATTGTGTTCATTTAACCTACAACATACAGTCTTTTCTTTCAAAACGTTAATAATTCTAGCTTTCATCTGCTTTGATCCAGCTCTGAATTGTCAATGTTACATTTTGTCTTTAAAATTTCGATATTTGTACAGACAATAATTTACCATATATTCAAAGATCCTATTAAATATTAGTAACTTGTTAATGTTTACATAAATGTTGGTTTTCTTAATTATTGTCATGTATTCTACCAAACCGATACAATGCAAACAAAAATTTTACTCTTATTAACATATATTGTCCAGTTAGTTATATTTACATTTAAAAACAATTGAATCCACCAGCAAATTATCTTCTCCAAAGACTTTTTTATTGTTCCGTATGCGTACTTATGAAAAAAATGTTTAAGCAACTAAATTTTCAAAGTTGAACCACTATTAAAAACCTCGAAGCATCGAACGGCGTTCCGTCCTTATATTGAAATCTTTAGTAATGCACAACCACATATCCTTATGAGAAAATTCAATCCAGGACCTTCAGTCTCGCACGCGAACGCTTAAACTCTAAACTATTGAGTCTGCATCCAACGGTGTTAATGTCTAACTTCAATCGATCCATGATCCTGCACAACCCTCCATCCATTGTCTGAGGTAGAAAATTGTCTTTACAAGACATGGATAAGACTCCATGACCAATGGGGTCTCGTGTGTGGAATCATAAACACGCGCTACTGAAGTGTCCGACTCTAGGACGAAACAGTTGTCCACTACTTCTAGGTTTTCAATGGTGATCTAGCTTAGATTGACTCGTGAATCTCCACAAATCCTCGAAATTGCAAATACATTTAATTTCTCATCTATGAAAACTCTCTTTGATGGCTTATATGAATTTTCAAGTTGTTGTTAAGTATATTTTTTTAACAAAAAACAACAATAGAACAAAACGGCCGTTCAATGTCTCCAAATTATCCATGATTGTCTAGCTTTAATTGAATCATGATCTCAACTATTGAAATTACTATAATCTCCATAAAACCCCTTTGGATACTTAAAAAATAACATGATAAAATGCAGTAATGAAGCACATTGATTTTTTTCATTCACATTTATAATAATAATAATAGTAATGTAATGTGAAAGTTGAATTAATTCCTATTTATCATAGTGAAATATTTAATAAAATATAAATTATTAAATGTTTCTTTAAATTGTGTAGACATTATATAATAGATGGCAAAATTTAATTGATATGATACAAGTATAACAAGATTACATAATAGTACAGCTTTACCTAAATAATCATCAGTAATATTAGGATAATTAATTTTATTAAATTGTATATTTTGATTAGTTTCTAAAAGATTAATTGATTTATTTATTGTATAATTATATTCAAATGTTAAATAAATTTGTTTATTATCCAATTCTTCTGTTGTTGTTGTTGTTGTTGTTGTGGTGGTGGTGGTGGTTATGGTGTTTGTTGTCTCTATCAATGTTTCTTCATTGTTAATTTGTATGAAATTCTCCACTTTCCACATTCTTCTTAATACATATATAGTTAAAACAATAGCATTTGGTAAATGCATTGCTATAAATTTTAATAAAACTACAATAAGCATACGAGATATTGCTTGAGGATTGATAGAGGATTTTTTAGAAGTCGATGTATATATAATATTAGTATTATCATTATTATTATTATTATGGGTATTCGTTTTTTGTCTTAAACCAAGACGTGTTCTTAATTTAATGATACTATGCATTTTTATAACAAGTATTATAGTTAATCCAATAAGTATTCCACATGGTAATATATGTATTAATACAATTCGTGCATAGAAATAAAATATCATATATACTGGTTTAATTAAATGACATTTCATTACAATATTAGGTAAATTATCTATAATGTTTAATAGACAACGAATTGAATTAACTTCTTTGTTGTCATGTAAACTATTTTCAACTATAAATGATTTCAATTGAATAGGTTGAAATAATATAAATCTTGAAGATATTAAAGGCCAATGTAAAGTAATAGCCATACATGATATGATTATGAAAATTTTTCCTGTAGAAGATATATTACATATTTTTGATGTTAAATTAAATGTTGTTAAATTTATAACACGTTGTAAAGCTAAAGCAACTGTTAACCATACTGATATTGTATGTGTTATAGTTGGAAGAAATACTGTTGACCAAGCTGATGCTTCACTAGCAATTATATTATCACTAGTTTGATAATAATCATATGGTGCTAATTCCCAATTTGTATTATTAAGTAAATTTTTAGTAATTGTAAAATTTTTAATTGGTAAATTAGTCCACCATGCAGTACGTTTATAAATACTTTGAGCAATATACATTGGTAATGGTAAACAACAATTTGTTAATTCCACAATACCAATAAGAAATAATAAGAAAAAAACAGGTGATCTCATTTGTGGTTTACTAAGAACTAAACAAACAAAGAAATTAGTAATTAACACAAAAATCATTAATATAGGTAAAAGATAGGTATGTATAATATAATCAAATATATCATTATATAATTCGGAAAATGTTGGATATGGTCCACAAATTTGATTTAGTAAAATTGATGAAATCACACCGGTTGACATGTTAACATAACTATCAAGAAATAGTATTTTTGAAATTGATATATTATTATCTTCATTAAGATTTATTGCAAAATGTACTGCATTTTTAGCAGCTTGACTATTAAATGCATAAAATATAGAATTTGTTGACTGAGTAGATAAGAAATTCTTTATGAATATGTTTTCTTTTTCACAATGAGACAATTTAGGAAATTCTAGTTGTTGCATTCTAAAAATATAAAAAATAAAGTTAAAATTCAATAATACCATCTAATTAAACAGTATCTAACAGGGAAGCTTAATGATATATATCTAGTTTTATTTGAATTAAATGTAAAACCAAAATCATTAAACAAATAATTAACTCATGGATGCTCACTGTTGAGAAGTACCACAATAGGAAGAAACGACCGTCCAATGCTTCGAGGTTTTTAGTGCTGGTCCAACTTCAATTGACTTATGATCTCAACCATTAAATTACTATAATATACACAAAAACCCCTTCTGATATTAATGGACATATGCTCACTAATGACTGGCTTCAAGAGGTATTGCCTGGAGTTCTAGTGAGAAGAAGTGACCAGTGGAGTCCAACCAGGTCTGTTGTGAGCTAGTAACTCACTGATGACAATGGTGGATGTGTCGCTCAATTTCGTGGATTAGTTGAAGTTTGACATTAACACAGTTGGATGCCAGCCGACTCAATGGTCTAGTGGTTGAGCGTTCGTGAGCGAGACCGATAGATCCTGCGTTCGAATCCCACGTGGCGGGATCGTGAATGCAAACTGCTGAGGAGTCCCACAATAGGACGAAACGGCCATCCGATGCTTCCAGGTTTTCCATGGTGGTCTAGCTTCAATTGACTCATGATCTCAACTATTAAATTACTATAATATCCATAAAAACCCCTTTCTGATATTAATTAGTTCATAGTTTGAAAGATTTTGAATCAACCTGTTAATGATATTTTTGAATAAATTTGAATCATTTCCTATTAGTATCCTGTGAAGACTGTTTTTATATAACCATTACATTGAAAGTTTTATGGGATAGATAAATTATTGATGATAGCAAAAATATACCAAAAAATAATAAGATCATTCATATCCGTCAAACAAGTGAGTGATTTTCTGAACTTACTAGCTGATTGAGTAATGCGTTGGACGTTTTTTAGCGTAAGTTAATAATTTCAATTCTAGGTGTGATCATCAACAATAGGAAATAGGTTTATCCAACGGACAGGTCTCGAATAAAATTAGATGCATGTTCAATATTCCACTGACGACCATAATTTATTCTATAAAAAGAATAATTATTTGTTTCATAATTATGATTAATCATATCACTATACTTATCTATTATGTTGTTCTCCACTGCTCGTGATTGTGATAACTGAACTCTAAATCACCTACTGTCTACATTTATAGACTGCAACCAAATTTAGATCATATTCTACATTTGGTAATATCACTGGAAGGACAACAGTCTTACTGGAACTATCAATCATCTATAATTGTGGATTCTGGTACAAAACTCAACCTGAGCACGTACAAGCCTGCTGAGTTAAGTAACGTCCATAATTTTTATTGTGTAAATAATGTTTAACTGATATATATTAACATTACTGTTTGTACTCAATGACTCTGTTATCACTTTTGAGTTCATATATTGTTTGGTCCACCATACACATATGTAGAGTTGGAATTTATGGGCATTAAAAACTTCTATAAACCAAGCAATTAGTTCTTTACAATTTCCACGCGTTATAAAATCAGCATTGATGTCGATTCTATTCCCTGTTGCAAATATGTCAGTCAGTCAGCTACAACGTGGGACGAGGCACATATATGTACCAGTCCAAGTTGGCACACCTCATTAGCACAGCAAAACGAGCACCATATTTATAGGAGCAGTTATTTCAATGATAATAATATATAAATTACGTGCTTTGTTATCGATGAACATGGTTTTTTGCTTCTCAATTTTATCGAAGCACTTGGTACTGGTTTCGAAATCATATATGCACATGTTTCATGACCTATGACTTTATTGTTCATTCACTCTTTTCGATATATGTGTTCCACACAAACGTAACCTAGTTTTCTCCTTGTTCCATTAAAACTTATAAAAATGTCCTAATTGCTTCAAGTTCAGTAATAAAGACTAGTAGTTAATTTATTACACAAGTGGATTGAAATTATTGACTGAATAATTTTGATTCCTAACTCCTATGGATAAAAATTTATGGGTATGATTAGATAAATCAGTAATTGATTAAGTTATGTTTTAAAATATGTGCTCATGTAATAATGACACACTTTTTATTGCCTTTAATAATTCATCATTTAGCTGTCAGTGGTCTATTATTGTAATCTGATCAATTCAATTTATCATAAAAGGTCTTCATTGGATGGATGTCAAAATTTACATTTTTCTATTTTAATATTATTTTAATGAAAATAAAACTCAAGTCAAACGATTCTATCATCGTTTTGTGTAAAATTGTAACTTCTGAAAAGAAGCCATATCAATTCTATTCAATTATCATATTGTACCACTAGCTGTTAATAGATAATAAGATTTAAAAGAAAAAATAATTTCCTTATTGATCACATAGAAACAGAACTTGATTTCTTCAGTTAAATAGACTGAAGTTGTTAATTATCATGACAGGTGAAAGATTGTGGATATCATTAAAAGTAAATTGGAAAAAAGTGATCTCTCGAATATGACAGATTTGTAATTATAATAGTGACTAATTTATCATTTTCAACGAGACTATAATTTGTGGACGAATCAATCAGATATATGATAACATAGGTCTAAGATTTCGGCGCAAATAGTGTTTTGGCATTTCAACTGATGTCAATTGGTGACGAAAACTCTAAATCTAGTTCCTAACTGATAAGTCTTCTAATTGAACACTAGATTGGGTTCTTAAGCTCTTCTAGTAACTCCCAGGATAAATCTACACAGCAACTTGAATGTGAGAGAAAATGCGTGAAACAAGGAAGAAAACGCTTTACTCCAAATTTTTGTTCATATACAGAAAATCTATTGTATTTATAGTATTTTTGATGGCCTTGGCCTTCCAGAAATTTCTGGAAGGCCACTAAACATGACAGCAGTATAGGTGATCATCCAGTCAGAAACGCGACATGTGACTTGTCACTTTCTTGATGTTTCTGGCAAAACTCTCCCTGAACGTTGATTGCATAAGATGTTTCCTAGCGTTTCCAGAGCCTCTCTTTGGCTTTTTTTGAGTTTTCTGGATCTTCTCAACACTAATTTTAACCAATAACTGTAAATGATAATCCCAAGTCTTCACACTGATATATAACCCTCACTGAGCCATAGTATGTAAGTGGACATTCTAATAGTCATTTTATCTTCGCTCAAAGGACGTCCATAAATTATTGTCTCATTGAAAATGTAAAATATACATTTAATTCATGCTTAACGTAATGAATCAAACACCGATGAATGAATAACAGTTTACATTTTCGGAAATGAACAATAATTTGAGAGAAACAAAAGAAAAATATTCATGTATAGGTGATATTTGCAAATAGTAATTCTTAGTACAGTAGAGATGTTTTGTTTCACTTCAAAAGGTGTCAGTAATAAATGAACTATTGTTTTCTCGATTATCACAGTCTGCTATCAAAATCGACAGCCAATGAGTAATTTCGTGAATTCATCAATATCATAATTATTTTCATTTATACATTGTCTATTCTATTTCATTGACCAGTATAACAGTTATGAAAATAAAATCTGTCGGTGTACCTTATCGTATAAATCACTCATCGATCCTGGCAACAGTATAGTGTAATTTATACGCACATACATATTTTACGTAATGTTAATAGCAGATGTGCTGTAAGTACTCAGTACTTAGGAGTCGTTATCTTAATTTACCATCAGCAACACAGCTTTGTGTGAGAAACCAGATGCCAGCTGAAGAGGAAATTAAGAAAGGATGATGGAAATGGATAGGACATACATTACGCAAATCATCAAACTGCATCACGAGACAAGCGCTAATTTGGAATCCTGAAGGGAAGAGGAAAAGTGTAAGGCCAAAGAACACATTACGTCGGGACATGGGAGCAGATATGAACAGGATGAATAACAACTGGAAAGGACTGCCCAGTGCAGAGTTGGATGGAGAATGCTGATGAGCGGCCTATGCTCCTTCACGAGGAGTAACAGGCGTATGTAATATATATATATATATATATATATATACGAAACGTTTCTGTTGTTGCATTCTTTGAATCTCTTACATTCATCTTCTGTCATTTCAAATAATGCGCCCGTTCTTGATGGGATACTTAGATCGATTTCCACTATTTCTGACTTCATTTCATCTATTTGGCGTAAGACTTCTTAAGAAGCGATGATCTGAATGAATATGGTTTCGACAAAGTGTTTTTCGGAGTGTTCTTAAGTGTTCTTCTTTTCCATGCAGCTTATCAAAATATATGGTACACCTTTGTTCAATCAGACTTGTTATTCAATTTTCATTATGTAGCTGAGCTACTATAAAACCTAAAGTACTAATTGCTCTGGTAGCCATGATCATTATTTGGCCACGTTGTCATGGGAACAGGATGAAATCTAATTAAAATGTAATGTTTTTCTATTCATTTCAATTGTTTTCTACATATTCTAGCTGAGTTAATAAAAACGATGGAGACTTTGTTTCTGATATTTTTCTGTATTTAATAATTTATTGCTTTATTTAATGACATTTTCGTCAGTCTGATAGGAAGAAAGTACACTTTGTTGTATTTTCCATTTTATTATCTAATAATAAAAGAAATGATTATATCATCAACTGACTCCAATTATTTTCAGTTAAAACAAATTAGACAATAACGATCGATTAGTAAGTTGTGCGTTATATATTCGTAAAATGAAATTTTAAAATATCACAAAAGTTTCATATAGTGGTTTGGTTGGATACTATTCAAGATGTTATGATCTCTAAACTAGATGGTTTGATTTTGAAGCCTTCATTGTTCTTCCGAACAACATCATATGCACTTACTTCAAAGAGAAGCGAGCTATTAAAATTTCTTCACAATTGACTTATAGTATATTCCTTTAGCCTAAAGTTCAGTTGGTTATTATGCATAAGCGGCTGTTGGTTGTTTATATGTTTTTTTGGTTGGTTTAGACCAACAAAACAACCTTTTAGTCGATTTCTACGACATTCCAGTAGCCCACGTCATCTTGAAGTACGAACTGGTGATATTGTACTAAAGAACAATGAAGGCCTCATGACGAAGCCATCCAGGTTAGTGAACGCAACACCTTCAACATCCTCATCCGAAACAAAAATTATTCTGTATCATCTGTGAATACCGTTAACACAGAATGCAAAATAAAAGTGTGTCCAACATAGTTATTCAGTATTGAAGAACAAAATTTTTTTTCGTGTACTTCAATCATGATTAAGAGATATCAGATTTTTTCCAAATTAAAAAGACTCTATCTATTTGAGATTATAAATATAATACCATCTTTGTATGCAAAGTAACAATAGATGTTATAAGCTACAAAACTGATAAATATTTCAAGCACAATGATAGAAACTGACATTTTTGTTAGAAAATGTTACTTTCTATACAAGTTAATGAGCAATGTATAAACTAATGTAGATATGTTGAAATAGTTATTAAATATTCATAAAAAATACTGTCAAGAAATTGAAAGAAATCAATTTTGTTGATATTGACACTTTGTACTTTATTTTAGTAAATGTCTGGTTGGGTTAATATGTTTATCAGAAGACTTTGTAACTTCCTTCAGTTTTATTAACATTATAAATACCAATATTGATGTTAAAAGAGATTCATAAGAATTAAAACATTTGGACTGAAATTAATTTATCGTTAAAGTCAAGTTTAGAAAGACACAAAATATTCCCATCTAAAGAAATTTACAGTTTAATCGATAAAATTCAATCAGCAACGAAGATCAGACAAAGTTAATATTGATTACTAATCACTGTTTATTCAATATAACCTCTGGAATTTTCAAATTTGTTTATTTCAATAATGCAATGAGAAGAAAAAGTTTATCAGGATTATGTGATATATTTGCGCAATACATTTCGAACAATCTGATCACACATAATATACATGTTGAGAACATTTCTATGCGAAAATAAAAAGGTCAACTAGACAGGTTAAGGGTAAGCCATAACAAAGGAAAAAATATATTAAAGTACACAAAATAAAAGGTGATTACCACTCTGGATAATAAATCAGTATTTCAATCATTAAGATCATGAGTCAGTTGAAGCTAGACCACCATGGAAAACCTGGAAGCATCGGATGGCCGTTTCGTCCTATTGTGGGACTCCTCAGCAGTTTGCATTCACGATCCCGCCACGTGGGATTCGAACGCAGGATCTATCGGTCTCGCTCACGAACGCTCAACCACTAGACCATTGAGTCGTCTGGCATCCAACTGTGTTAATGTCAAACTTCAACTAATCCACGAAATTGAGCGACACATCCACCATTGTCATCAGTGAGTTACTAGCTCACAACAGACCTGGTTGGACTCCACTGGTCACTTCTTCTCACTAGAACTCCAGGCAATATCTCTTGAAGCCAGT